CTGCAAATGAAAATAAAGGCACCTCTATCCTGAGAACTTAATAATCAATTTCTGCCTTACCCATTCCCGCACCCCCCCCCCCCCCGCCAAAAATCAGCAAAACCAAACCAACACAGCAGTAATTAACACAGCATTGTAAATAAACTATACTTCAATTAAAAAAAAAATCAAACCAAAAGGGGTCAGGTGTGCATCTTGAGGGGAGGACCTGTGAACAAAGGCCATCAGAAAGGAGAAGCACAAAGCAGAAGTAGGGGTGGGTCAGCAATAATTCTGGTTTTCTGGGGAGTGGGTGGAGTAAACAATGGGAAACAGTGGGACAGAGGCTGAAAGGGAAATTGGGGCCACATTCACATCCTTCAAGGCAAGGAGAGGAGCATGGAACTGGTCAAGCATTCTAACAGACTATAGCAGGTGGCTGAATCCCAGTTCTTTCCAAACACCTCTTTTCTGCGGAAGCAACTTCCAGTTATTAACTTCACTTAATTCTTATTTTGTAATAGTGCCCATTTACCAAGTGATCTGCGAGAGTTTAAAGCTGTTTAAATCCCTTTAGAAGAGGCAGTCACATATATACATCCTCACAGTAAGGTTCTATAAATCAGTCTTCTAAAGAACTACTGCAATTAAACAGCCAGCATGAAACTACCCAGCCCTCAGCCAGGTCTGGGGTTCTTATCCCAGGAATAGGAACTCCATTCTTGTGAGTGCACTCCATTATCAGCATCTTCTACAGGAATATATATCCTGGAAGACAGCAGCTTTTCACTCTCCATTAATATTTATTGAGTGCCCCTCTGATGCAAGTGGAAGGCAACTTGACAACATGTGCCAAGAGCCTTAAGTGTGTTCATTCCAAGAATCCATCTAAAGAAATAATCCAACATGTATATAAAATTTATGCGTAAAAATGTTTAACAAACTGAACAAATTATAATAACTGAACATACTATAAGGAATCTAATTTCCAAAAATAATGGAATAGTTAAGTCATGGGATAGCTATATGAGGATATAATAGTCAGCCATTAGAGTTGTTTTTTTTTTTCTTTTTGGCTGCGCCATGTGGCTTGCAGGCTCTTAGTTCCCTGACCAGGGATTAAACACAGGCCCACGTAATGAAAGTGCCATGTCCTAACCACTGGATTGCCAGGGAATTCCCCACTAAAGACTGTTTTTATTAGAGTTTAAAAATGATATAGAAATGGAATTGTGTTCTAATATTAAGTCAGAAAAGGAAATATATAACTGTACATCCAGTGTGACCAATCAAATAAATTTTAAAAATTATTAAAAAAACTATATACACACAAACATAGCTCAAACTAAACACAGCAACACAGCTGTCCCTGGGTTCTCGGATTTTGAGCTTTTCTCTAGCTACTTCATAATTCTCTGTGCTCTCCAACTCTTCAACTATGAGCATGTACTCTTTCAATAACCAGAATACAAAAGTAAAAACTGGGAAGAAATATAATAAAATACAGCTATCTCTAGGTAACAGGATTATAAGTCACCTTTAGTTGTACACTTTTCTGAATTTTCTAAATTTGATTATACACAAGAATTGTTTTTAAACATAGAGCATATTTACTCATGTGATATGCACACATTAAACACTACACATGAAGCTTTAGAAATATGTGAGAAATAATGATGATGATATTTATACAAACATAGTGATAACAACTTCATAATAAGTGTGTGTGCACATGTGGAAATGTCCATGGAGAGAGTTGTTTAAAAATGAAAAAGTTTTGTGTACTTTTTTGTAAAATTAAACATTGATTCCCCCCACAACATTTTATCACGAGACCTTTCAACCATACACCTAAACTGAAAGAATTTATAGTGAACATCTGTATACCCACAACCTGGAGTCTACCATTAATATTTTACTATACTCAATTATCATGCATCTATCCAACCTATATCCATCTTACTAATCCTGTTTTTAAAGTTGAGGTATAGTTGATTTACAATATTATATTAGTTTCAGGTGTACACCATAGTGATCCAAAATTCTTATAGATTATATTCCATTTAAAATTTTTATAAAATACTGGTTATAATTCCTGTGCTGTATAATATATCCTTGTAGCTTATTTATCTTATATATAGTAAGATATATAAATTTGTGCCTCTTAATTAAAATTCCTAGTATAATTATTTTTGAAGGCAATATATCACATGCACAAAGAAGCTATAGCATTTGTCTTTGTTCTAATTTCAAATTTTTAAACATTCTCACAAGCAGAAGACAATTAAGCAGCACCAAAGTAGATAATTAACAATAAGTCTATTGATTCACTGTTTCAACTGGCAATAGGTTTTCTCCTTTCACATCAATTCCGAGCACTGTCACCTCTAATCACCCCTCCCCTTATTACTTAGATCTCAGTATAACTGCTATTTGCCTCAAGGAAGCTGTATAGTACTGAAGTCACCAGGACAATCAAAGAACCAAAAGAAATGGTACGATTTTAATTATATATTCAATTATTGGGGGGAAGGGAAGCATGTAGTTGGGACTAGTAAAGAAAACAAGAGGAAGAAAAGACAGTTCAGACTGAAGTTATGAGCTTAGTTGTTATGCTAAGATAACTTCCTGGAATATCACCAAATTCAGTAAAGATTTTTCTAAGGCAAGACAGATCAGAGGAACTTGCTTCATCAGCTAGTCCCATGCCACAGTTATGCTAAAGAGCAACACCGATGCCAAGGCTGAATGTAACAATGCTGGCTTTAGATCTGTTCTGCTTTGTCTCCTAAGAATGCCCAGTGGTTTCCAAAAAGCCTTCAGGTATACCACGCCACTCTACAGATGTCTCACGTCACAGTTCTACCTCCAAGGCCTTCTATCACCTGTAGCCAAACTCCTGACCCAGACACCCCCAGTCTCCAGAATACCACATACGCCTTTAACAAAGAGCCAGGTGAGAATGAAGTGCATTCATGAGTGCTGAGGAGAAAAAAAGAAGGGCCTCTGACTTTTTCTTCTTTAGAACACAGAGAACCTGGACATTCATAACCACTGACAGTGACATACACTTGCCATCATTCTATTTGTATCAGAACTGAACTAAAGTTATATTTAATGAGGCCAGAACATGCTGTTATACTAAAGCTTCACCCAAAATACAAAGAATTTTTGTCAGACTATTTTTAAGCCATAGTATTAAAAAGTAGTTGATAATAATAATTTCTAAAACTCAATTTCATTTATACCTAAGTATATTTATATGTGAGAAAAATCCTAAAGGATATACACCAAAATATTAACAGTGGTGAATAACAAGCGATTTTTATTTCTTTACCTTTTGGTATTTTTATATCATTTTGCTATAAGTACACAATTTTTTAATATTCTGATTTAGGGGTGTGTCCAATTTGATGAAAATAAAAGCTTTCACATTTTATTTATTTTTTGTTTTTTTTTAGCTTTCACATCTTAAAAGTAGAAAAATATAGACTATTTCTGGAATTTCTCACCTTGAATTTTACTATTACCCTCTCTCAAATGGTCTCCTTCTAGGTAAATTATATCAAATACTAAGAGTAATGCAATTCAATTAGTTCAACCTAGGATCTAAACCATAACTGAAGTTAGATCAAAAGATCAAATTAAAAACAACTAAACCAAAAATTGACTGCCACCATTTACCGAAAAATAATATGGCTCTTTGTTTTTGAGTAAAGAGTCTATAACAAAAGATTTCCTAACAGCAGCAGGCTGATTATGTGGTATACATAAAGTATACCAAACAGGCACAATAAGAAGTGTTTGGCACTGGGATTTAAAAATCTGTAACAATGCTATGGAGCCTGCCCCTTCCAAAGTCTCAGTCTCATTTATCTTGCTAAGGAAGCTCAGCTTTATACACAGCTCAACTCCTTGCCTCAGCTCAGCTCTGGACATTGCCAGGTGAGAAAGAATGGGTGATGGATTCAGAACAAAGTGGGGTTTTCAACTTCAATTCCACCCATGGCAATTTATGAAACCTGATTCTTAATTTCCTCATCTCTGATAAAAACCACCTTGTGATATTGCTCCAAGGATTAGAGAAATGTATGTTTAGTATCTATAGTAGGTACCCAATAAATTATTACGATATAACTGGGTTGCCTATGAGACAGATGTTAGTTTCTCCTTTTGATGTTAATGCTAATATGGAGCAATTCCACTGTACTTAACATCAAATGTGTACCTGAAAATGATGATTTGCCTGTGGGTGTGCGAGTTGGCTGAATCCTGGACACAGGGAAGCTGCCTTCCCTGCACCTTCCACTCCTGCTTAGTATCCTCTGAGTCTCCTTTGTGTTGCCTCTGACAGCCACTTACCACATCTACCCCAAAAGTAGGAGAGTCAGGCTGTCTGGGTTTGTAAGGTATCCATTTCCCTGTATTTATTCCTTCTTCCCATTTCTTTCAGGGCCAGTTAACAGATAAAAGTAAGAAGATGGAACTGCTAGTTTACTTTATGGATTTTCAAATTAGCAACAGAGCTACAGGCAAAAGCAGTCTAAGATGAACTCCCATTTAGGAAAATACTAATGAGTCAGGTTGAATTTTGTGTTTCCAGAGATACAGCCAAGAGACATCTGCTTTTTGTATTAATAACACTAAATCTTTCTTTTAGAACAGGTTTTGTTGTTAGTAAAGTCTCCCCTCCAAACTGACCGCCCCCAACCTTCTCTGCTGTGAGGTGAAAACCATATGGCACTCGTGATTATGGTTTCAAATATCAATTTGAGGAAAGGAGATCTTAATTGTAAAAAGACAGCTCCACCCAATAACCTACAACCATAGGGACTTGGCAAGCAATTTTTGAACACAATAGCAAATCATTTTAAATAAACTCGATCCAGCGATCAAAAGAACATGAAAGAATCATGACCAGTTATGAAGAGAGATCCACCCCTACAGGACCATCACCACAGGGAGGGAAGCACTGCAGCGACCCTGTGCACAGCCCTCCTTGGCGCTTGTACAGTCCTTACCTGACAGTCAAAGTCCTGGAAGTGTCGTGTACCATTCTGTCAACAGAAGGCAGAAAACACAGTCAGTTTCCCCATGTGGTTTCCCCAAATGTGCAGCAAATTCAGTTCACAGTGAAAGCAGTGCATGTGCAGCCTCTTGGTTGCCATAAAACTAAAATGGTTCTTCTCATCAATAGGCTTCAGAGGCAACGCATGTCAGTAAAAGGGGAGTCTTTAGTGATGGGGTTACACTTTGGCAGGCTTCCCATGAAGATGAAGGAAAAGAGTCTGGTTTCCTAGTAAAGCTTGTAACTTGTCTCCCTACCTAAGGAGAGCAGGGAGAGCTTGTGGGAAGAGAGAAAACATGGATCAGAGTCTGAGAACACATTCACAATCCACACGGGAGGTACGTGGGAGGAAAGGAGCTGGAGGCCAACTCTGACAGGAGCCAGCGTGCCCAGGACAAGGAAGCAAAGAAAGGACGAAGACGAAAACAAAGATACAGATGGGTCAGAAATGAAAGATCTGAAATTTAACAAGGAAGAAAGGCAGTGTCACTGAGGGAGGGAAACAGATAAAACGGAGTTCCTCATACACTGGTATATCCTAAGACACTGCTAACAGGATAAAGGACAAATCACTGAATTGTTTAAAAACTAGGACATAGTCAAAAGATCCAAGGAGAATTCACCAAGCTTCTAAGAAGAGACTGTATCACAGTAAGGTTGGATTGCCCAAAAAAATCAATGGTAATGACTCAGAGGCATTTCTGTAATATTTCAGATGCCAGAGGTGCAAGAGTATGACATAAGAGTATAAAAAGGGTAAATGAGTGATGTCTTTGGGAGGAAAAAAACCCTTCTGACTCATAAAGTAAAAGCTCCTCCCAAACCTCATTACCTTCATTATTCAGAAACTGTTATATCCGTCCACCTTCCGGAAGGTGTGGAGCTATAATAATAAGCACCTTATCCAAAGCTGCCCCTTCAGAGAAGATCGAGGTCTCTGATGCAAAGGGAGTACTAAGCAATCCCATCTCCTGTCAAGAAGATCCTCTTAGAAACAGTTCTGTGTCCTACCACTCACACTGCTGGCAGGACAAACAGAGGTTAAAAGCACAGCCCAGCCTGGTAAAGAAACAAACTGTCCTCCCTTGAGAGGAACTAGTGGAGCTGGGATGATGCTCAGCACTCTTCAATACGGCAGCCAATAGCCACAGCTGCCAATTTAAACCAAAATTTAAAATTTTGTCTCACTGTCACATTAGCTGCATTTCAAATGCTCAGCACACATGTGTGGCCGTTGGCTACTGTATTACTGGGCAGTGCAGATACAGAACATTTCCTTTGACTGCAGAAACTTCTAGTGGATAGGGCCGATCTAGACAGCTTTTGAAGGAATAAGATTATGGATGAGCAGCCCTCATCTCTCTACCAGTGGCAGTAAAGTCACAATAGATTACCAATCACAGAGAGACTATTGATGACACTGAGAAAAGGAGAGAGTGGTGGAGACAGCTAGCCCGAGGTATTAGTCCTGGCACGAAACCAAGTTCACAAAATAAAGTTTGAAGCAGTCACAGCAAGGAGAAACAACTACTATGCCATGCAGACAGCACATTCCCATGGAATGCTGCCATTGGTAAAAAGGATCATAGTGTTCCACGGCCCCCACTGGCCCCACACAACTCCTGAGACCTCCTTCAGAGAAGTCATTGTACTTAATTTCTAGTTTGACTGTGAGAAGCAGAAGGGAGCGCCGTCTCAGGGACTCGGGTAGATTGTTGTAGTAGGATATAAACGACCAGCCAGTGAGTCCCAGTCCCTGATTCAACTTGCATCCTCCACCACATTCAGCAGAGGGCCAGGTGTAAGTCAGGTACTTGATGGATATTTATAAAAGGAATAAGCCAATGTAATAAAATTAAGTACTGACAAGTTTCTTTTAAGATTTTGGTCAAAAACACCAGAAAAATTCCACTGCATCCCAGTCATTAAATAAAAATATAGACTACAAAATAGTCGTCCAAGTTTGACCTCAACTATATTAAAATATGCTCCAAAAGAGACTAGAAGAAAAATACCCAAACATTAACAACAGCAACTATTTCAGAAGAGAAAGTTTATGGCTGATTACACTTCTCTTGAAACTTTTCTACAATGAGCATGTACTTCTCACCTTTTGCAATGAAGAAAAAAAAAAATGATTTGGTTTGGCACAAAAAATGTCTATAACTTAGTATTTTGTATTATATGATTTAAAGATTCATTTAATCTTTTCAGGAATAATCTATAATGATATCAAAACAGACCACATTACAGCTTCAATCTTATTGGGCTCCCAGAGTTTCCCTTAGAGATTATTTAGAAAGCTTAGGGAAAATCACTCCAGTCTGAACTAAAATCTTGGTCCTGGAACACAGACACACAAATTCTGATGAGCAATTTGCAAAGCAGCTGTTGCTGTATGCATGAATTCTTTTCTTCCCTATCTTGTGATCACAGTCAAGAAGCATTTTGTGAGGCTGAAGCTTGAGATGAGCACAAAGGGAAATGCCAAAAGCAGAAAGATGCGATTCTTTCCTGAAACCAAAGTGATCTTTGTTGAGAACCTAGCAAGAAAACAGTTGCACATTCTTTATGCAATGTTCACCTCCCAAAGAAAAGATACTAGTAATCAGAGGAAGACTAACACTTGTTTTCTTGGCTTTTTTTTTTTAAAAGATGTCAGATCCTCTTGGGAGTCTGGCTTCAGGCTTCATGAGTGATCATGCATCTTGGACAAAGGACATGACTGGGTCAGTCTGACCGTGTTTGGTGCCCAGATTTTCTGAGCGAAGATCATTAGCTGGTCCCCAAATGATCTGAGTGTGGTCAACCAAAGCCAAATTCTCTGAACTCATTAAAAATTCAATACTGCTCACTAGATAGATTCTGGAAGGGATAAGACCTCCCTGAGGCACTTCCCTGGGAATTTATTTGTCTCTGATATTTGCAGTGCAGGGTTCCACTCCAACAAAACTTTCAGAAGTTTCAGGCTCTGGGTTCTTTCTTTTTATTTTCTGTCCTTTTTGAATATAGCATTAATTCCATGTTCAATAGAGATTCTTGCACTAAGCAGACTTAAGTAGCAGAAAGGGATTCAAGATAATAAGTTAAAACAATAGAATAATGTAGGGGAAGAGGAAAAAAAGGAAAAATCAAGGAAAAAGAGAAATCATAACTGAAAGTTGCAGTCAAGGTAGAAGCCAGCTAAGGGGCATGTTTCTTGGTGGAGGCTCTAGGCCAAGTGCAGAAGGTAAATGAAGGAGCTCAAGAAAGTAAATTTTAAAAAAGTAATTCTCTCAGTTCAAGCCTGGAGAATAGGCAAAAAGCAACTGAGAATCTATCAGTGTATGAAGGGAAGTATGAGAAAAGGGGGGAAGGCAAGGAGAAAAATTTAAGAATCAAGTAACTGCTGGACAGTTATAGAAATATAACTGGACAGAAGAGAAACATACTTTCCCACTATAAGATCTAGTTAAGATCAACATATAGTTTCAAAAAACAGAAAGAAACAGATAAAACAGAAGAAAGACCTCAGGACCAACTAAAAACAGGAGGAGATTTGGGGCAAATCGACCTGTTTGGTTACCTTGTTGTGGGGTGCAGTGTCTGACTCACTACTCTATTCCCAGTTCTGGCACTTAGTAAAAGCAATAAACATCATTCTGGAAGAGATATGAGCATCTCAAAATAGAGATACTCAATTTGAGTAAGAAATGAATTCCAAAGAGGAAGAGTGACATGCAACTGATGAGCTTGGAACTAAGGTACAGTTGTTAAAACAGGAAAAGTTAAAGAGAATAAAATATGGCATGTCTACAAAGAAAAAAAAGGACAATAACTCTTATCAACAGAAAGTAGAAAGATGGGAAATTGTACAAGTAATGTATTAATAGCACTTCACAAATACTCTTTAATGAAAATGTCAATAAATCTGTGTTGCTGTTGTTTTTAAAGAAACTTTGGAGGGTATGGGGTGGCGGGGAGGTTCAGGAAGGAGGGGCTATATGTATACTTATGGGTGATTCACAGTTGTTTGGTAGAAATCAACACATTGTAGAGCAATTATCCTCCAATTAAAAATAAATTAAAGACCAAACAGAACAACCTCTGCCTGTCTCTGCTGCCCTGGGGATGACTGAAATGCTTATCCCTCGGTTCTTCCTGCTTTTCCTCTTATAACATCCTCCCTACCTTCTCTTATGTTTCCAGTCACCAGTAGAGGGTCTACCTCACTTTCTACTGTAATAACCGAAACAAATTAATAACTTGTTCCTGTCCCCCCAATGAATATTTATTCCCCTTCTTGGTAGGTCCCCAGTTCTGCTGAAGCCAACTGTGGTCTCCTATTTATTTTCTCAAGTCTGGTCTTTGGCTTTCACAGGCTCAGCAGTATCTAAACTGAAGGTAGGTAAAGGAGGGCAGGGAACATGAAGCACAAATTGGGGAGCTCTCTTGCTTATACAGGTCTGCGGAGGTGGGGGGGAAGAGGCTGGAACAACCAGCTACAAGAGGCAGCAGGTGGTGGGAAGAACCTGAGACCCCCTGACCCAGGCTGAAGTCAACATCCGTGGAGTCTGGTCCTGGCTTCACCACCTCACTAGACACCAGCATTGGACAAGTCATATAATTTCTCTGAGCCTCATCTATAAAATGGAGTTAAAATACCTTTAACTACTTCCTTCACAAGAAGTTAGGAGATTCAAATTAGATAGTACTTGTGAAAATGCTCTGAAAATGGTTAAATGCTATTTAAAAAAAAATCATTTCATATAATTCTGTCTCAAAAAAAAAAACACCCCACACAGAAGTACTGGCAGGTGCTTCTTTTCATCACTGGAGCCAAAACAAGCATGGCAAAATTACCCACTTCTTCATAATTCTGAGCCATAGACAAAATCACAGGCATACTAAAATTAAATGGGAAAAGTACCAACAAATGACAAGAAAAAAGTTAACATAAGCCTCGCTTAAAGCTATTTTGAGAATGCTTCCTTATAGTCAGCTCAGGATAAATTTCTGCATTTCAGGTTGGGTCTAGACTCCCTTTAGCTCCCTGAAACCTGGAAGGGCACAACAATGTCTCTGACTAAGAATGTATCTAGGAGGAGAATGGACAGAAAGATGATGTGAAATGATATGAACCTCCAGGTTTCTGCTTGCAGAGAGAGGCCAAGCCTCAGAGGTGACGCCAGAACTTCTGCAGGGTGAACACAGCGGCAAGGCCGTGGGCTGTGCAGCAGGAAAAGTTTGGGTTTCAATCCTGGCTCTGCCACTTCCTGGCTAGGCAGGCCTTAGAGTCAGAGGTTCATCTACTAAGTGAGGAAGACGATCTATTTCAAAGGAATGTTCTGATGATTAAAAGAGAGAAGGTATGTAAAGTACCCAGCTTTACATAGGCTACGATAGGCTATTAGGCAAAAATAAAACCTCCCCGAAAACTAAAAGCTCTAAGACTTCTTTTCCTATTCAAATCTGGAAGCTTATACCCTACCAGCAGTGGTTCTCAACTGGGGAGACTCTGACCCCCAGGAGACATCTGATATTGGCTGGGGACAAGTTTGGTTGTCATGACTGGAAGATGCTACTGGCATCTAGCGGACAGAGAGGCCAAGGATGCTGTTAAACACCCTACAATGATTAGGGCAGCCTCCCACAACAAAATATTTACAGTGCCAAGATCAAGAAACCCTGTCCTACAGCATGTGTTCCTGGGTACACAACCTGAGTAAGCTACTTCACCTTTCTTAGCCCTCGTTTCCTCATCAGCAATATGAGAATGAACTGATCTGTGTGTCCTAAATCACCAAGCCTTTGGGAGGACCAAATGAAATAACGGATGAGAAGCACTATTGTCATTATACCTTTCAAAATGTATGCAAAAGCACCCACTTATTGAGCAAAGGCAGAGCACTGATATGCTGGGGAGTGGGGGGTGGAATGGGGTAGAAGGCTTTGTTTGGGAATGACATTATCTGAAGAGGGCCTATTGCCAATCTACTTCTATAAAGCTTGGCTGGAGCAGGGGGAGTGCTCATGAATAGTGATGGGCTAGGAGCACTTCCCAGGGAGACAGAGGAGTGAGATGGAGCGTGGGAAGTGGGTAGGGACAGCACAGGCATATCAAAGAAGAGTTAACAGATGTTAGGAAGTGAGACAATGCTTGGTATCTTAGACTGCTCAGGCTGCGTGAACGGCTTATACAACAAAAATTTATCTTCTCACAGTTCTGAAGCCTGGAAGTCCAAGATCAAGGTTCCAGCAGGGTTTGGTTTTTGGTGAGAGCTCCATTCTTGGCTTGCAGATGGCTGCCATCCATGTTTCCTCATCTGTCCAGGGGTGGAGGTAGAGGGTGGATCTCTCTTTCCCCTCTCCCTCACTTTTCTTATAAGGCCATCAATTCTATCAGATTAGGGCTCTACCACATGACCTCATTTAACCTTAGTCACCTCCTTAAAGCCCGTATCTCCAGTACAGTCACATGGGAGGCTAGTGCTTCAACATATGAATTTGAGGGGAGGAGACATAATTCTGTTCATAGCACTTGGGCACATATCAGACACAGCCAGGGAATCATTAGAGCCTCAGAGATGAGGACCCAAACATTAATCCAACGTCTTTCTGCAGTTATAGTCACAGAATCTTTTCTTTTCCAGCTGCCTTCTCTATGAGACATCCAGTCAATTAACTCCTGCAATTCTTTATGTAGGTGCTTCAGGCGCCCTGTGGACTTCCAAGGTCAGGGAAGACTCCTCCTCTAATCTGGGCCCCAGTCCTCGAGGGTCTGAGATCCGTCAGGTCACAGGCTTCCAACACTGGCTCATCAGAATCACTTCAGGCATGGTTCTCAATTTTTGGATGCTTTTATAAACATTCACCCCAGACCAATTCAATCATAATCTCTGGATTGATTATTGGTTATTTTAGGCATAGGTTATTTTTAAATCTCCCCAAGTAATTCCAATAAGCAGCCAAGACTGAGGATCAGTGATCATAGAGGGGTGTACATGCCCTGTGCCCATCCCCTCAGATTCCAATTTAGTTGTTCTAGAGTGGGGACCCAGGAATCTGTATTTTTAAACAAGTCCCTAGCTGATTCTGGTGATCACTCAGGTTTAAGATACATTTCTAAGTTCCTGAAGCTAAACTGCCTATCCCCACCTGCCCTGTAACTATTCATTTCTGTGGCTGTACATAAGCATTACAGATGCAGATTCTACTTCCTTCCTCCTCTTCGTGGCCCATCATTTGGGGACAGCCCTTCACATGCACCAAAATTCAGTACTTAAAGGAGAGTTTTCTGAAAACATGAAGGGAAGCAACAAAAGAAGCCAAATAAGGGCTTAAAAAGTGTGCAGCTTGCCAAGGGGGAAAGCAAGAGATCTGACGAAAGGTAAAGGAAGGGGTGGGAACAGGGGTAGAGACGAGGTCACAGGGACAAGAATGGGGTTGACAGGTTTCAACAGCAAATTAGTGAACACAGAATAAGTCAACAGCCCTAGAAGCTATAGGTGAAGGGCCCTGCTTTGGGCAAAAAAAGATTAACAAGCAACAGCATCTTCTGGTATAGCCCCCATTGGCATTCTGACCCTACCCACATTTACCCTGACTTTCTATCAATACTTCCCCAGGAAAGGAAGCCATGAGCTCATCCATACCAAGAGTAATTTAATAGGGGACAATGACAATACATCAAAAGAACAGGACTTAAAAGAAGGAATTTCAGGCACACTTACTGAATGGAGAGGGAGAAGAGAGAGAATAAACCTTTCTTAGCTTTTTGGTAACTCTTATCATCACAGCACTCTTTACCTGCTGAATCCTGGTGACTGTTAACTATGATGATGCTCACTGTGTATTCTCTGACATGAACGGAAAAATGAGGTATATTACCAACACCCAGGCACCCTTGATGAAAACCTCAACGTAGACAGAGAGGTCACATCACAGACTGGACAAACCTTATGGAGAGCACCGCAGCCTGTGTGCATTACCAGCCATGGATGCTAAGTTTTCCTTATAGAAATTGAAAGTCACGATACCTGGATTCTAAAGCAAACCCCACTCTCATACTTTCTGCTTAACATCTTTATCTGTAGAATAGGAACATGTCAAGGATAATCTGACTGAATCTGGCTGGTGGAAACAAAAGTAGGAAGAAAGAGAGGAAAGACATCAAGAAGGTTAAGAAATATATTTTTTAAAGTTTTCTCCACACAGAAAGTCAAGATAAATATGTTTTTAGTTACTATTCAGATGATACAGAAAATAAACTAACTACAGAAGAAAGGACTTACATATATTTAGTGACAACAGCAGTCTTTACCTTATCATTTAGAAGTGGTTTGATCTCTGTGAGTTGAACATCCTGGAGTTCATCCATGAGGACAGATCAGAGTAGAGGATTCTCAAGAATAAATCAGTAACTCTGAAACAGAAATGGAGAAAAAGGCTTAAGACTAGGAGTTGAAAAAAAAAAAAAAGACTAGGAGTTGGAAATATAATGGTCACACTACATCCATTCATTCAAATATGAGAGCTTAGTATGTGTCATGCACTGCTCAGGGTGCTGAAGACACAGTAAACTAGACACTTATGGCTAACAGACTCTAACGTGGCCTCTGTGATCTCTGTACCTCTTGGCACACACACCCAAGCATAACCTCCCAACCCACCAAATGCATGTGGTGGGGGGGGACCCATGGCTTGCTTTTAACCATTAGAATATGGCAAAAGTGATGGAAAGTACATGAGTATCTGTATATGATTACATTACATAATATTTTAACATCTGTCTTGCAAAGAGACACAGTTTCTCTGCCAGCTTTAAAGAAGCAGGTTGTAAATGTGTTGTTGTCCTCTGAAAAAAAAGAAAAAAAAGGAGGAGGTTGGCATGTTGTAAGATGGCCACGCGGCAAGAAACAGCCTCTAGCCAAAACAGCAAGAAACTGGGACCTTCAGCCCAACCATGTGCAAGGAACTGAAGGCTGTCAACAACCACGTGGGCCTGGAAGCGGATCCTTCCCCAACTGCGCTTTGCCCTGACCAGCACCTTGACTACGGCCTTGCAGAGGAGCCAGTGAACCCATGTCAGAGTCCCAACCCCCTGAAACTGAGATAATAAATGTGTGTTATAAACCACTAAGTTCGCAGTAATATTTTTATGCAGCAACAGATAATTAATACAATAGTCTTTGCCCACATGGAGAATTCATTTCAGTTACTGGAGATATATAAGTAAGAAAACAACATGCTCAGATTTACAATTTAGAAAGCAACAGTTTGGAGGGTGGATTAAGGGAGAACAAAAGTTGAAGGTTAATGCTGTAGCCTAACATAAACAGAAAGATGAACCAAAGCTACACTCACTAGCCTTCACCTGGGGAGTCACAACAGTAGATGCAGAGCATGGCAACCAGCCTCCACAAAGGCCTCCAAGAGCCTGCTCCTCAGTTCCTGACTCCAGACCATGAGACATAATAAATAACTTTGTTTTGGAGTGATTAGTTACATAGTGAGAGATAACTAATACCAAAAGGGAGAAGTCAGGGAAAGGTGTGGAGTAAAGAGGCACAGACTCCATCTAGGAAGCTATGGGGAGAGAATGCAAATACTGGATACAAGTGATTTCCACCCAGACTTCAAAGCTCTAGGCTTCATCTCTTCTGCCTTGGCCTTGCAGGAAAAATGCTAATTCAATGATTTGGGAATTCAGACATTCAACAACCATTTATTGAGTTCTCACTGTGCAAAGCATTATGGACAACAGAAATAAGGTCCCTGCCTTCTACAAGTTTATTAGTAGAGATGATCCCTATCTATAAAGTTACCTACAAAATGAGAAATAAAGGGCCAGAGGAGTTCAAAGGAGTAGCAATTACTTCTGATTGGTGGGAATCATTCACAATATATTAATCTATTAATCCATTTTTCTGTTTTTCCCTCCAGAAATAGGATATATGGCTTTGACTTAGATATGGAGAGGGTCTGTGTTGCACATTACCTCTTAGGTATTAATGACCAATACACCAAAATGAATCCTGCCTTCAACTATGCCTACATTTGTTGTTGTTCAGTTGCTCAGTTTATCTGATCCTTTGCAACCCCATGGACTATAGCACGCTAGTCCTTCACTATCTCCTGGAGTTTGCTCAAACTCATGTCCATTGAGTCGATGATGCCATCCAACCATCTCATCTTCTGTCGTCCCCTTCTCCTCCTGCCCTCCATCTTTCCCAGCATCAGGGTCTTTTCCAATGAGTCAGCTCTTTGCATCAGGTGGCCAAAGTACTGGAGCTTCAGCTTCCATTAGTCTGTCCAATGAACTATTCCTTTCCTTTAGGATGACTAACAAAAGCTCTTCTACCATTATTTTGAAGAACCCTGAGGGTGCCAATGGGACCACTGCTCAAACCATGGATCCCACACACCAGCCATGAGGACCCAAACATTTGTGTTACTGCAAGAGCACAAGCCCGGTATTTACCTTCCCTCTAGGATGTGGGTCTTTTCTCAGATCCCAGATACCTTATACCCTTGACTGAGCTACCGAATGCCCAGAATTTTTATTTTATTTTCGTATCAGTCACACTTCAAAAGGAGATGAGATACCTTGAACTTTTTATCACAAATTTCAGCCAGCATCTAACATTTCTCTCTTCTATAGTCCCCACATCAACCCACTTAGCGCCCCAAATACTGGCCCAACTGGGATCTACTCATTGAATTTTTTATTTATTTATTTTTGAGTTTTTTAAGTAAACTTTTATTTACTGATTTGGCTGCACCAGGTCTTAGGTGAGGCATGTGGGATCTAGTTTCCTGACCTGGGATTGAACCCAGGCCCCCTGCATTGGGAGCACAGTCTTAACCAGTGGACTATCAGGGAAGTCCCTTCATAGTGTTTATTAATCACACTATGAACTGTGGCTACTTTTCATTTGGACTTCACCATTTAGCAATAATTTAAAATGACAATTTTAAAGGTCTTCTTCCTATCATAAAATACGGGCCCGTTTTAGAAAATATGGAAACCACAGGGTAACCAAAAGATATTTTATTCACAGTCCTTCCTTCTAGAAACAATCACTGTTAATATTTCAGTCTATTTCCATTCCTCCCCACACACACATAAAATGGTGATATCCTGAAACGTTTCCAACCCTGCTTTATTCCCTACTTTAATTCACTCATTTGAAAGCAGGGCACTGCAAGGTGTGACTCATTCAAATGTGACTCCACTGGGGAGCCTGTCACGGAGCCTCAGGGACAGAGGGAAGCCTGAGGTGCCTCCAAAGTGACGCATTCACCTAGTGTTCCCAGCATCTTTTAAAGATAAAGAAAGATGCCGTTTGTGCCAGGACAAACACTTAAACAAGGGCGCAATCAAACGAGAAGGCTGTCCTTAACAGCTGGGCCCAATGCAGTCAATGCAGGACGGTGTGACTCAGGAACTGGCAACAAGACCGCAGGTGCTCACTTTCCGCATGACAGGGGACCCAACATGTTCTTCCAGAGACCTGATTTTTGCTCAGTTCTCACTGTCCTGAGCCCTTGTCAATGAGCAGTTTTACAACTCCCACAAGAAAATTAACATCGCACGGTGGAAAACTCCATCTCCAGATGCCTCTGCTACACACACACACTCCGTCCTGGGGATCTGAGGGCTGCAGTGCCCTCCTCTGCACAAAAGATATGGGTGCCAGAGCCCATCCTGATACTGAGGGCTATTAATATTTTTAAAAGGATAGTGGAGATTTTATAAAAGTAGTAGATAAGAACTCTTTTCCAGTTTCATGAGATAAGGGGAAGAGTGACAAGTGAAAAAAAAAAAACAGCCATCCTCAAACTGAGGAAGTGAGCCTTGTATCAAAAGGCTATAAAGGGAAAGAGAAAAGTGTAATTTCTACTCTGTGCCAGAAATTACAGTCTAAGGACCTTATGTTAATCCTCCTCATCCCAGGAGTTATGTTTAACACTCCTCCCGGGTAGATATCTTCATTTCTTACTTTATAGGCAGGAAAAACTTAAGCTAAGAGAAATTAAGTGAGTTTTCTAATATCCACATCTAAGTGAGTAACAAGGCAAGGATTTAAAAATTTGATTCTTCTAGTCATGGAAAGAGTCCATAAGTACATCAGATATGGACTTTAGACCTAGGTGGGCCCCTATATGAGTGGCACTGGGCAAAGCATTTTTCCTTTCTGGACCTGTTTCCCCATCTGTCAAGAGAAGAGGTTGGGTAGAATAACATTTTGCCCCCATTTAGGACTGATGTTCTGTGACCCAAAGTTAGTTAGTGTTAATCGCTCAGTTGTGTCTGACTCTTTACGACTCCATGGAATTCTCCAGGCAAGAATACTGGAGTGGGCTGCCATTCCCTTCTCCAGGGGATCTTCCTGGCCCAGGGTTTGAACCCAGGTCTTCTGCATTGCAGGCAGATTTTTTACCACTAAGCCACCAAGGAAGCCCTCTGTGACCCAAAAGCCCCCTATAAATGTAGCACTTTACATTATTCCTGAGGGTAAGTATCTATCCGCCACCTCACAGGGCTCTTAATATAATCCTAAGAGGTCACCCAGTTATCAACCTATTCAGGTTCACTGATTAGCTGAAGTTCACTCAGCAAATCAGTGGGAGGATGCACTTGGCCTGATTCCAGGCACATGAGGGTCTCAGGCTTTTAGCACATCCCACATTATGTTTTATTTTTCCAGTCATGAAAAGCTCACTGAGATTTCCAGCGCTTAAAAACACTGTTTTGTTACTTTAAATAAAGACAATAAGGGACTATACATAGTACTGGCTTTCTAGGCTACAAGCCGTCTTATCTTCCAGCTTTTCCCCATGACCAAGGTAATTTGTCTGGCCTTTGTCACGCTTTGCCAGAAACGAACTGACAGCAGGCTACTAGTTTGTATTCTAGAAGCAGAGTCAGTCACTTTTGGTTTTGGCAAGATCGCAGACAGACTATCAAAACAGGATGAAGGCAGCAAATAAAGGAGGCACTCTCAGGAGACTGAGCTGGAAGGGGTCGGCTGGAGCTGGTGCTGGAGCAGTTATGACTGGAAAGCGGTAGGAAGTGGCCAGAGGACTGGCTGGGAAGGTAGTGGCGCTCCTACAGCAAGCTGACCCACATCCTCTCTGCTTACCTATAAACTACTGGCTGAATCATGATTACAGCACTTCACAAAGCACCTTCACATCTACCATCTCACTGGGTGATCACAATGGCCTGTGAATCAAACACTGGGGCACTGCATCACTTCTATTACAGAGATGAGGAAACCCAGGCTTACAGAGGTGAAACAGAATGAACAAAACACACAACTAATAAATGCAACAGCTCTAACCAAAACCCAATTTTCTTCTGATCCCAAATGC